CTACAAGGGAATGAAAGAAACAGGTTAGGAGAGAGGAATAATATTCAGAAGATCTGACTTTAGGAAAAGCCTAGCCTTACTTAGACTGATCTCCTCAGGAGTTCTGGGGGAAAAATCACATCACAGAGGTTTCACATGTTGAGGCAAAGAGCACTGAAAGGCAACAGTTGGCCATTGTCTAATCGTAGGTAGAAGTGTTCATCCTTCCCAGCTTTTTGGGATAAAACAAATTCCACAGGCCAAGGGGAATTCTTCACATAGAGAGAGAGATGCAGGTAAGAGCTATTAGCAGCCAATACTTACAGTGGCTGATGGATGTTGTAAGGGGAAAAACATGTCTTTTCTCACCCATTGCAAGGTTTATGGCTGATACCCCTGTAACAAAAACCAGATTAACAATATAATATAAACTTTATGTGACATGTAAGCTTTCAGAATGAAGACTGAAAGACCCAGGGAAAACTGTATTTTCATGGCCAGTTGTGCACAAGTACAACTGGAGGACAAAACGGTATGGTCGAGTGATGATAAACCAGGGGAAACTCAGCAAGGCCTGTTCAGATTCATCTGAGCCTCTGTGTATAGGTCAGGATCCTCCCTCTGAAAAGAGGGTCTTAGAACCTACTTTCAGGGTAGGTAGTTCAGAGAGTTATTTTATGACCTTCTTAAGGGGAAAAATGTGGGAGAAAATCAGAGTGACTTTCCTGATTCTGCAGTTTTCTCAACTTTCTTCAGCTTACAATTTTCGATATGCCAAGGTGCCATGTTTTGGAATTATCATGTTCTGAGCCCCAGTGATGTTGGGAAAGAAGCCCAGACTACATGAGATGAGTACACCTAGGGATTCCCAGTGAAGGTCAGAACAGATGACCAGCATCAACTTCCAGGCATGAAGGAGGTAGCATTCAGATGACTTCAGTCTCTAGGCCTCTTCTATGATGCTTCAAACGTCCTGGAGTGAAACAAGCTGCCCCTGATGTGCCCTACCCCATTTCCTGATCTGCAGAATCCGTAAGTATAATAAATGGTCGTTATTCTGTCACTGAGTTTTGGGGTAGGAGTAGATCTTGTTTTATTGCACTTTGCCTTATTGAGCTTCACAGATACTGCATTTCTTTATGAATTGAAGGTTTCTGGCAACTCTGCAACCAGCAAGTCTATTGGTACCATTTTTCCAGCAGCATGTGCTCACTTCCTGTCTCTGTGTGACATTGTTGTTAATTTTCTCAAGTTTCACACTTTTTCATCAAGTATTATATCTTTTAAGGTGATATTTGATGCTACTACTATAAGCTTTTGGGGACACTGTGAATCACCCCCATATAAGACTGCAAAACTTAGTCACTAAATACATTATGTCTGACTGTCCCACCAACCGTTTCTCCATCTCTCTCCCTTTTAAGGCTTCTTATTTGCAGCAAAACAATACTAAAATTCAGTCAATTAATAACCCTGCAAGGGCCCCTAAATGTTCAAGTCATATGTTGTGTCTCTTATTTAAAATCAAAACTAGAAATGATGAAGCTTAGTGAGGAAGGCATGTCAAAAGCTGCAGTAGGCTAAAAGCCAGGCCTCTTGTGGCAAACAGTAAATAGTGAATGCAAAGGAAAAGTTCTTGAAGGAAATTAAAAACACCACTTCAGTGAACACATGAAAAATAAGAAAGTGAAACACCCTACTGTTCACATGGAGAAAGTTTGAGTGGTCTGAATAGAAGATCAAACCAACCACAACATTCTCTTAAGCACAAGCCTAATCCAAAGCAAGGCCTTAACTGTCTTCACTTCTATGAAGGCTGAGAGAAATAAAAAAGCTGCAGAAGAAAAGTTGGAAGCTGGCAGAAATTGGTTCATGAGGTTTCAGGAAAGAGGTCATCTCCATAACATTAATTTACAAAGTGAGGAAGCAAATAATGACACAGAAACTGCAACAAGTTGTGTAGATCTAGTGAAGATAATTGTTGAAGATGACTACACTAAGCAACAGATTTTCAGTGTGGATGAAACAGCATTTTATTAGAAGAAGATGCCATCTAGGACTTTCATGGTAATAGAAGAGAAGCCAATGCTGGGCTTCAAAGTTTGAAAGGACAGGCTGCCTCTTATTAGGGATTGAACCTGACGACTTTAAGTTGAAGTTAGTGTTCATTGACCATTTCAAAATTCCTAAGGTCTTTAAGAATTATGCTAAATCTACTCTGCCTGATCTCTATAAATGGAATCACAATAGCTAGATGACAGCATATCTGTTTACGGCAAGGCTTACCGAGTATTTCAAGTCCAATATTGATACCCATTTCTATTTTTTTTTTTTTTTTTTTGAGATGGAGTTTCGCTCTTGTTACCCAGGCTGGAGTGCAGTGGCGTGATCTTGGCTCACTGCAACTTCCACTCCTCAGGTTCAAGTAATTCTCCTGTCTCAGCCTCTTAAGTAGCTGGGATTACAGGTGTGCACCACCACGCCCAGCTATTTTTTTTTTTTTTTTTTGTATTTGTGGTAGAGACAGGGGTTTCAGCATGTTGGCCAGGCTGATCTTGAACTCCTGACCTCAAATGATTTGTCAACCTCAGCCTCTCAAAGTGCTGGGATTACAGGCGTGAGCCACTGCGCCCAACTGAGACCCACTTCTGAGAAAAAAGCAAATTCAAAATAGGTGTTCATTGACAATGCACCTCATAACCCAAGAGAACTGATGGAAATATATAGATTAATGTTTTTATGCCTACTAAGACAACATCCATTCTGTAGTCCATGGATCAAGGAGTAATTTTGACTTTCAAGTCTTATTCTATAGGAAACATATCTTGTAAGATAGTAGCTTCTATACATAGTAATTTCTCTGAAGGATCTGGGCAAAGTAAATTTAAAAACTTTCTGGAAATGATTTATTTTTCTAGATGCCATTAAGAAATTGCCACATCCCCACCTCAGCCTTCAGCAACCACTACCCTGATCAGTCGTAAGTCTTACTGAGGGCTCAGGTGGTAGTATTTTTTGGCAAAAGGTTATATTTAAATTAAGGTATGTACATTAATTTTGAACATAATGCTATTTCACAGTTAATAGACCATAGTATGATATAAAAATATCTGTTCTATACATTGGAAAATAAAAAAATTTATTGTATTAGTTGCTTTATTGCAGTAATCTGAAACCAAATCTGTAAAGATTCCCAATTTGTTGTAATCCTTGTAATTTGTGTGCTAGAGTAATTGGAACAAAATGTAACATACTATATAGCTTACTTATTTATTGATCCCCACTATAATGCAAGCTCTATGAAGGTAGGATGTTTTATACGTTCTGTTTACAGATATTTGCCCAAGACAGATATGTGACCAGACTGTCTAGAGCATAAGAGGTCAGTACTCATTAAGTATTTGGTAACTGAAAGAATACACTGAAAAATTGTTTGTTATACTTCTGTGCTGGTTTGGTTGAACATTGAATTCTAGGTTGAAAATAATTTAATTTTATTACCTTCTCCTTTCCAGTGAGACCAAGGAGGAGTTGTGATGACCTCTAATACTCATTCGTTTATAAAACTCTATTTTTCCCATGGAAGGTTTGATACCTTCTTTCTTATCCCTGGATTTATGAACATCTGAAATTTTACTGTGTGAAGAGATTTTCTTTCTATCTTTTAGCTGAATCGCTTTGGCTCAGAGGATTCTGGCTCAGAGGATTCTGTCTAAAGGCTTATCTCCTTTTAGCTGCAGAAACGCATTTTCTATCTTTTCTTTGATTACAGTATCTTCTTTTCTATTGCAAGGGCCTTTCCTTAGAGTTTTATTTGTCAAAATACCTTAGCTGTTCTTCCCACGCTTTTAAAATTTCTTTTGTTTTTAAATTTATGGAGAACTTACGTACAACTTCTTTAAAATTCCAACAGTCTCTGTACTAGCAACTTTTACCACCTTTCTTAAAACATTAACCCTGGGGCAAGATTCCCTTTGCCAGCTGAGAACTTGGCAGTTCCAACTTTACCAAATCAATATTTCAGTTAATAAATAACTTTTGATCACCTAAAGGCTGACTCAGGTCTTTTTTCTTGTTCTGCTTTGAGTCTGGATTATTTCTGGAATTACTTACAGTTCTTCAGCAGTTGTTGTCTGAGATTTCCTTTACTCTTGTTCCTCTATCAACTCAAACTCCTTTATTTTCTATCTTCCAGGATTCCTCAAAATTTTAGTCTTTCTAGTGGTGCTATTTGTTATATTCTAATATTATGATATATTTTTCCTTTACATATATATGTATAAAGAAAGGACACATATACATACATATATATATATATGTAAAGGACATATATGTATAAAGAAAAATATATATGTAAAGGACATATGTATAAAGAAAAAAATATATATGTAAAGGACATATATGTATAAAGAAATAATATATATGTAAAGGAAAAATATATCATATTAGAATATAATAAATATATATGATAATATTAGAATATAATATATATGTAAGGACTATAATATATATGTAAAGGACAAAAGTTTGAGGAATAGATAGATATTTGTATTTGGGGGTAATTTCTGCTAAATCTTTGTAAGAGAAGACCCTAGTGAGAGCGTTTGATTTGTTATTTTTATCTTATCTCAATTTAAAATCACAAATCCTCTGACAAACTAGGTGTTCTCAACCCTATTTTACAGAAAATTAATGGGCAAATTCAGTGTTAGGAAGTTTGTTTTGTTTTGTTTTGACGGAGTTTCACTCTTGTTGCCCAGGCTGGAGTGCAGTGGGGCAGTTCCAGCTCACTGCAACCTCCGCCTCTCCAATTCAAGCAATTCTCCTGCCTCAGCCTCCCAAGTAGCTGGGATTGCAGACACCTGCCACCACACCTGGCTAATTTTTATATTTTTAGTAGAGACTGAGTTTCACCATGTTGGGCAGGCTGGTCTTGAGCTCCTGACCACAGGTGATCCACCTGCTTCAGCCTCCCAGAGTGCTGGGATTACAGGCATGAGCCACCATGCCCAGCTGGAAGATTTTTTTTTTTTGAAGGGAGACATGACTTTATTAGAAAAATAAAAAACAACTAAGGTGATGGCTTGGTCTTCAGCGGATGCCTTGGTGGATGAGGCTGCTTTTGGCTGCATTGGCCTTCTCCCACTCCCGCCGCTGTGCAGGTTCCAACTCAAAACAGCGCCATAGCCTCAAGGTCTCATCTGCTGCTGCAGATGCCACTGTGGCCCCATCTGGGCTCATGGTCAGACTCAGGACCTGGGATGTGTGACCTTTCAGTTCAGCCACCTTGGCCATGGTTGGGTACTTCCAGATAACCAGCTGGTTCTGTGAAAAGCCATGGCGGGAGATGAGCTCCTTGTAGTGGGGAGACCAGAGGATGGAGCACACCTGGGAATGGGCATCCACAGCACTCAGACAAGCCCCAGAGCACACATTCCAGATGCGAATGTGTCGATCACTGGTGCCTCCTCCTGTTGCCAGGACATTGGACTGCCAGGGACACCATGCTACAGCCTTGACAGCCCCTTGATGCTGGGTGAATGTTTGCAGAGGAACCCAGCCACCCTCTCCAGGAGCACTAGGCCACACATTGACCAAGTTATCATTGCCACCACTAGCCAAATGTCGTCCATCTGGGGCCCAGCGCAGCCCACACACTTCCTGGCTGTGGCCACTCAGTGTGGCCACATGGTGTTCTGCTTCCCCAACTCCTTTGATGTGGGGGTGGATATGGCCAGAACGTGATCCACTGGACAGGATATAGCTGTTCCAACTTAGGGAGCCAACTCGGGCAGAATGACTGGTCATATTTCGAAGCCGTTTCTGCTGGAAGATTTTTAATGGAAGGAAGTGAGAGAGAGGGCAACTCAATGGCCAAACAGGTTTATTTACAAGAATAAGCCTGCTCAAGGTCTCAGTCAGGAATCGGAGACCCTGGATATCTTACAAGCTGAGGTTTTTATAATACAGTTTCTATAGCAAAGGAGTTGGGGAAGCGCTGGCAGGTTGAAACTGTAGGGGCCTGGGGAAGGATGTGGTGAGGATTGTTTCTTGTGGTCAGGATTGTTAAGCTCTGTTAAAGGTACAGAAGAGGTTGACCTTTGCTTTGTTTTTGGGAACTCCTTCACCAAGGTAGGAAACAGTCACCAAGGTAGAAAAATGGCATCACTCTTGTTAATTCTCACACCTAGAACTTTAGACATTGCATTACTCAGAGACATGTCATGAATGTTATTTGGTGTGTATGACAGAATAATCTTCTAGATAAATTACATAAAAGGTAGTTGGTGGAAAAAAATATGGGTTGGCTGAAAGATTTAGAGGTAAAAATGAAGAACCAGTCTCAAAAAGTCAAGATGGGAAAAGTCCAGGGAGATATGTATAGAACTAACAATAGAGCATCTTACTGGGGCATTTTAACTGAGCAGAATAAATATCTATTCTTTTCAGGTTCTATACTGTTTTGCTGAATATGGAAATCTCAGGGGGAGAGCTTAGGATTAGACTTACTTTTATTTAAGGATATCATCTCTTCATCTGCAGGGGGAACATTGAGCTTCTCTGCCAAGACTGACTTGAACTGTGAGCAAAGCAGATCATCAAAGCAAAATCGGGGTGCTATTAGCTGAAGAGGGAACTGATGTTGCACAGGCAAAAACACCTGAAATCACTAGACATAAAAACTCCCTGGAGTCATGGGCTTACTGAGTTTCTTAACAGGCATTCTCAGAACTAGAAATGTCCTCAATGAACACTACACAAATCGTAAGTGACGGAATGAGGCTGCCCTAATTTGTACAGTCAGGAACCCTCATTACTGCACTCTGCCTTACTCCTATTGCCTACTATCATTGCACACTTTTATATAATGATCAAAGATTGTTTCCTTAAAATTTTAAGCAGTATTCATCTAAGTCTTCCCCCCCCCATCCCCGACATGGATTTTCCCTCTTGTTGCCCAGGCTGGAGTGCAATGACGCATTCTCGGCTCACCGCAACCTCCGCCTCCTGGGATCAAACGATTCTCCTGTCTCAGCCTCCCAAGTAGCTGGGATTACAGGCATGTGCCACCATGCCTGGCTAATGTTTTGTATTTGGCAGAGACAGGATTTCGCCATGTTTTCCAGGATGGTCTCAATCTCTTGACTTTGTGATCCACCCGCCTCGGCCTCCCAAAGTGCTGGGATTACAGGCGTGAGCCACCGCGCCCGGCCTCAACTAAGTCTTTTACTGCTTTCCTATTTATCTTTAGGATAGTGACATAATAAATGATGTGGTAAAATAGCTAACTCATTCAGCAAAATTCCAGTAATAAGACTGTGCAAAGGTCAATCTAAATTAGGAATGGTTGTATTATGGACTATTTTAATTCTAAATATTTTGTGTTATTATAATTAGAAGGACTATTGGTAAGGAACTCTTGCCAAATAGGATCCCTTAAGGTCAATTTTAATTGAAGGGACATTTGTAATTAACTCATTCCAAATAGAGATGTTAAAGTCCATGAAGCCATTTAGCCACTTTAATCCTTCAAGAAAGTCAAGTACCTTATGATATCATTTTACATTTCCTTTGTTAGTGCTTTTTTCAGAGCTTATCCATAAATTTCAGCCTCTGGTTAGATAACTATAAATTTTGGTTGGTTTTTGCTGAGTACATGAAGTTTTACTCTGCTTGAACAGGAATTTTTCACCGCAAAAGTAACTAAATATAACAAAATAATGTAAAAAATAGTGAACACCTACTATGTGTTAGATATTCCTCTAAGTTCTGGGAATGCAGTGGTTAATGCATATTCCGACTTCATGGAGTTTAGAGTCTAATAGGAAACTTTCTCTACATAACCAATTATCTTCTTGCATTTAGAGTTTCATTATGATACTAAGCAAACCCTGTATATTTTTAGAAACTCATCTATTACAAAGAAGTATACATATTAGTTAGAAAATTAAACAGTTCAACATCTCTGTACCAATATTGTCCAATAGAACTTTCTGCATTGATGGAAGAGCCCTCTGTGGGTGCACTCCAATGAAGTAAACCCTAGGCACAAGTGACTATTGAAAATTTTAAATGTAGCTACTGCAAGAAGAATTGAATTTTACTTTTTTATTTCTCTTTTTTATTGCTACATAATATTTGTACCTATTTATGGGACACATGTGATATTCTGTTACACGCACAGCATATGTAATGATCAAGTCAGAGTGTTTGGGAAATCTATCACCTTGAGTGTTTTTCTAGTATTTTTCTTTTTCTTGTCTATGTGTTGGGAACATTTCAAGTCCTCTCATGTCGCTATTTTAAAATATAAAGTGCATTGTTGTTGACTATAGTTACCATGATCTGCTGTCCAACATGGTAACTTATTTCTCTTCTCTAACTGAATCCAGTTGTATGTTTGTACCCATGAACCAATGTCTCTTCATTGTCACCCCCTCTCACCCTCCACACCCTTTACACCCTCTGATATATATCATTCTACTCTTTATCTCCATGAGATCGACATTTTTCGCTACCACATGTGAGCGAAAACATGTAATATTTGTCTTTCTGTCCCTAGCTTATTTTACTTAAGGATTTCTAGTTTTATCTATATTGCAGCAAATGACATGGATTTTGTTCTCTTTTTTTGGCTAAATAGTATTCTGTTATATGTCTTTACCATATTTTTTAATTCATTTGTCTGTTGATGGACACTTGAGAGTTGATTCCATACCTTCGCTATTGTGAATAGTGCTGCAATAAACATGCAGGTATTCCTTTGATATGCTGATTTCTTTTCCTTTGGCTACTACCCAGAAGTGAAATTGCTGAATCATATGGTATGGTAGTTCTACTTTTAGTTGTCTGAGAAATCTCCATATTCTTTCTCATAGTGGCCATACTAATTTCATTCCCACGAACAATATGTAAGAGTTCTCTTTTATCTGTATCCTTCACTAGCATCTGTTAATTTTTCTGACTTTTTAATCATAACCATATATTTGTATAGTTTCCAAAGTTCCTCTTGTTATTGATTTCTAGTTTCATTTCATTGTGGTCTGAGAAGATACTTGATATAATTTTGATTTTTAAAAATTTGTTAAGACTTGTTTTGCATCCTAACATATGGTCTATTCTGGAGAATGTTCCATGTGTTAATGAAAAGAATGTGTATTCTGTACACATTGAATGAAATGTTCTGTAAATATCTGCTAGTTTCATTTGGTCTAATGTGCAGTTTAAATGGCATGTTTCTTTGTCACTCTTATGTCTAGATCATCTGTCTAATTCTAAGAATAGGTGCTGAAGTTTCCAACTACTGTGTTGAAGTATATCTCTCTCTTTAGATCTAATAATATTTACTTTATGTATCTGAGTGCTCCAGTGCTGTGTGTATATATGTTTAGATGGACATATACTGAAATGATCTCTTTATCATCATATAATTATCTTCTTTGTCTCTTTTTACTGTTTTTGACTTAAAGTTTGTTTAGTTTGATATAAGTATAGTTACTCCCACTTGCTTTTGGTTTCCATTTGCATGGAGTATCTTTCTTTCATCCTTTTTTTTTCAGTCTATATGTGTCTTTAAGAATGAGTTGAGTTCCTTGTAGCAGCATGTAACTAACTGGGTTATGTTTGTATATCCATTCTCCTATATCTTTTAAGTGGCAAGTTAACCTGTTTGTATTCAAGGTTGTTATTGATAGTGAGGTCTTATTCTCACCATTTTATTAATTGATTTCTGATTGTTTTTGTATGTTTATTCCTTTCTCTCTCATTGTTTATCATTGTGATTTGGTGGTTTTCTCTAGTGGTAATATTTGAGCCCTTTCTTTTCCTTATTTCTGTATTTACCAGGGGCTTCTATAGTCTCATGTGTTTTCATGAGTGTAGATATCATCTTTTCACTTCTAGGCATAGGACTCCATTAAGTATTTCTCATAAAGCCAGTCTAGTGATGAATTCCCTCTGTGGTTGCTTGTCTAGGAAATATTTTATTTCTCCTTCATATGAAGGAAAATTTGGCTGAGTAAACTGTTCCTGGCTGGCAGTTTTTATTTTTCAGCATTTAGAATACATCATTCTATTCTCTCCTGGCCTGTAAGATATCTGCTGAGAAATCTGTTTAGTCTGAGGGGAATTCCCTTATTAGTGGCTAGATGGTTTCCTCTTGCTGTTTTTAGAATTGTTTCATTTTGACTTTTGACAGTTTTACTCTAATTGTGCCATAGAGAAGAACTTCTTGAATTGTAACTATTTGGGGATCTCTAAGCTTCCTGTGTCTGGATGTCTAAATCTCTTGATAGACTTGGGACGTTTCCAGCTATTATTACATTAATAATTTTTCTCTCCCTTTTGTTTTCTCTTCTCCTTCTGGGGCACTGAAAATTTGAATATTATTTCCCATTGTTATGCCCAATATGTCACATTGGTTTTGTTCATTGTGTTTCATTATTTAAAAAATATTTTTCAGATTGGTTATTGTATAAAATCTGTCTCAAGCTTTAAAATTCTTTATTCTGCTTGATATAGTGCATTGTTGAAGCTTACAAATGTATTTTATACTTCATTCAATGAATAGTTCCGGAATTTATGTTTGGTTCTTTTTCATGATATTTCATGATAATCTTTTTCATGATACTGATTTTTAAAAATTTTCTTTGTATCGCTTTTCTGAGTTCTCTTGTATCTAACTGAGCTACTTTAATGTTAAGATTTTTAATTTTTTCCTGGGACTTCTTGAATTTTTTATTGGAATCTGTTGCTGGAGAATTGTTGTATTCCTTTGAAGGTGACATATTTCCTTGTCCTTCCTTCCTTTCTCCCTCCCTCCCTTCCCCCCTTTCTCTTTCCCCTTTTCCCTTCTCTTCCCTTCCCTTTCTTTTTTGTTTGTTATTACATTGATATCTGCTCATCTTGTGTAACAGTTGCTTTTTCCAATTTCTTGAATTTACTTTCATAAGGGAGGGTTTATTCCTAAAGATTTATCAGTAGTGTGGGTTGGATAGGGCACTTTGGTCCTGATGGTCGGTAGAGGTAGTTGGAAAGTCTCCATGTGATTTCTTCAGCTGTAAACAGTGTCAGTGGGGTCAGTGATTTCCCCAGTGGCTTAAGGTGCATCAGTAGAGGCCATGGTGAAGATTTTCTGGGAATTAAGATGCCAGGTGAACCAGTCATCAGGCCTCAGTGTTGGCAGCAACAGGCTGTACATGCGCATCCTCGGGTCCCCGGGAGGCATATAATGGCACTGGGGTTAGTGAGCCCAGGTGGGCTAATTCTTGGGTCTCCAGGCAGCTTTCTTGGGTTGTTGTAGTGCCAGTGAGCCAGGTGGGTGAGTGGGTCTTCGGGCTCATGTGTAGTAGATGTGGCATGGGGAATGGCAGTAGCAGTGGCACAATAACACTCTCACAAGCAGTTTACACTGGTATTGGTGATGGCTGCAATGAACTTTTGCACCAGTGCCTAGTCCCACAGTTGGTGCATGTGGGTGGGTGCCAGCTGTGGTGGTAGTGACAGGCTGGGTGGGCTTGACCTCAGTGCCCCAAGATAAATGTTCACATGCCAACCATAATGGACCAGACTGGGCATTCCCCAGAGGTCTTCAGCCCCCAGGTGGTGTGTATAGGCACTGGCTTTGGTAGGCAGGAGAGGAGCGATCCCTAGGCTCCTGTTGGAATGCCCAGGTGGAAGCCACAGTGGCCGTGCTGCAGCCCTTTTACAGGGGAGAGTGGGTTACTTTCAGTGACAACAGTCAAAGGCAAGCAGGTGGAGAGCAAGCACTGCGCTCTTACTTTAGCCCCAGCAGCAGTAGCCTACAGTGGTGGCCTCTGTGGGTGGGAGAGTCTGCCCTTGGGGCACATGAACACGTGTAGCAACTCTGCTGCTGAGGGCAGTGGGGTTGCTACCAACGATTGTCACTGTTACCCTGGGGGCACCCCAGCTGTGGTGGTGGCTGCATGTTGTCGAAGTGAATGAAGCTCTGGGTATGTGGAGATGTGGCATCTGTTGAGCCTCAAGCAGAATACAGGGTGGAGAGGGGTAGGATCTCAATCTGGCACTTTGCTTAGGACTTAAGGGGTTTGTGGGACCAAGTATGGGCTCCTTTTCCGAAGCACTGTTGTGCCTAAAAACAACTCATTGAGTTGAATTGGCCTGAAAATATGATGAAGTTCAAGCGAGAAATCAGACCAAGTCGTCGTCTGAAAAGCTTACACACTCTCTCTACTCACTCTGTTAGCCTGTATGTAGTGGGTTAAATTCCCACAGTAATTTAAGGGTTATTGGACACCTTCATTGCATTTTTCCTTTATAAAGAAAAACGTACCTGCAAACAACTTCTGTGCAATCTGTAAAGAACTGCTGGTAGCTCCTGAAGCAGAAGCAAGTACGCCATCTGTTTTTACTTTTGCATACAAAAGCAGAGCACTGTACAGTGAAAATAACTAGAGGATTAATGAATGCACACACTCATTTAAGCTGCAGTGAAGTCTGTTAGTTCTTTTGACATGTCATTAGTCAAAGTCAGGTAATTTCGATTGAAAGGGTATTTGTATTAAATAAGGAAAGTAGTTTACACACCAAGCAATCCATTAATGTCATGGAAAAAAAGGAAAATTATATGCTCTGCACAAAGTGTTTTTGAAAAGGCAATTCAGGCCACAAAGAAACTTGGGTAATGCAGTCAACATTTTAGAAGCTTTGCCATTTCACAGACTGACTTTGGCCACAGCTATACATCACTTGCTGGTGTGGGAGAAATTTTAGTGATAGCAACTCCAGAGCCACAAAATTTTAATAAGCTCACTCATGCCTCAAGAGAGTTTGATAAAACAAGATTATATGAATATGCCACCACCATGAAGTCAATGCTACAATTAAAACCCAATGAAGTGCAGTAATATCTGGAATATAATTATTTGCCTGTAACTGGCACATATGTAATGATACAGCATCCAGGTCTTAACAGTAACAACATTCACTTAAAACGAAGGGTTCAAAAATGATTATACTCTGTTGAGTAGCATAGAAAACAGAAAAATAATAAAAACTTTTAGAAAAGATGATTCTTATTTTGGGGGATTAGAAGTATGCAGCATTGATCTTATTTCTTTCTAATTTGTTGAAACATAGAACATGGAATAGTAGCACAAACATTATCAAAACAAAGCTGTCGGGGTTCCCAGGACACTTATCAGTCCTACATATTCAGGCACTATCATAATTTGGCTTGCAAGTGGGCACAGTCTGTGAGTCTAAGTCTTCATCAGATTGAGGAAAAAAGCCATTTCTCTCCTACCTGTTGTCTGCTAGAGAAGAAAGAATGATTTAAAAATGTTAAAAGGCTGAAGTCAGCAGTCAGGCAACTAGCTGATGGCACAAGCCTGCTGCAGGGGGTCCTGAAGGTTGGGAAAGTAACTCCCCCTTCTGAAATGGGCGTGTTATCTGTAAACCTTAAGAGTGAACAAGGAGTGTTGTTTCTGCTGCCCAAGAACCTGTCCCAAGTCACGCACTCTGCATTTGCACAATCCACTCTCCCCGTAGAGTTAAATCTGTCACAGAATGATTGACTGCCTTAGTGTAACTTCTCCAAGTTTGCTGTAACCCCTCCTCTTTCCCCCTTCCTGCACGCGTCAAATATAAATTAGTGAATCAATGAAAGACAAAGACTGTAAGTTCAGATGACCAGCTAATGGGCTATGACATGATTTCAACTCTGCTCCCCCTTTCAGAACTGTAAACCCATAAATGGGGGAAAGGAACTGCTCTTGGGGGGGCTCAGTTTTTGGGATTCAAGTCAGCCAAGGTTCCACAGCCAAATAAAGTTGCTTCCTTCCACACTCCAGTGTCTGAGGGGTTTTGTCTGACGTTCATCCTGCAACATTTCAAACTGTTGTACAGCTACAAGATATCAGAATCTGAGCAGCTGTGAAATCAGAGGAAGCCTGTTGTTACCTTTACATGGATTTACTGAGTGTCAGGAGATGTCAGAGACAACGCCACCTAAGAGGAAAACATTGGAGATACTTCCAGGAGTCCTGGCACTGAGTGTTTCTTAGGAGAATAACTTGGCTACTGATTAACTTGGTGATAATCAGTTACTCCATTTTATTCTGGATATCTTATGGTATGAAATCTGTGTTTTCAATTATGGTGTCCAAAACCTACCTATTAAATGTTTGTAAAGCACTGGGAACAAGGGGGACACAGCTCAGGCTCTGCATATGTTTATTGGAAAAGTATGCTTTCAGTTTTATTACTCCCCGCAAATATTAACTCTCATGTTAAGAAAGGTGATCTGAGTGGCAGCATCGCATATGGAGCTTAGTGCATTGTTTATTAGATCCTCCAGGAGATTCTGAGATGTGCCTCATTGGATAATTCATCATGACTCACTACGATTAGGACGGTGAGATGACATTACACAACAGAACACTTGGCAAGTCCCACTGGCCAGTTTTCTTTAGGGATGTGCACAATCCACACTAATCTTTAAACATGACCATTTAATTCAGGGTGACAGCATGATATTGACTGCTCAGGTCAATGTTCTTTCCACATATCTCTTACCGCTATGGAAGACAAACACAAGCCATTTTTGGAATAACAGTCTTTGAAATTCATGATTCGCAAATAAGAGATGCCAAAGCGTGGCTCTTATGGCAGATGTTTAAAATGAAAGTATGAGCCTCATGAGGTGTACTGAGGTGAATTCTATCTCAATTAAGAAGTTCCTTCTCTAAAATGTTCCTACAGAATAAAGCAGAATTTATAACCAACCTTCCTTGTTTGTATCTTGTGAAATATCATCCTAAACCTCTTAATCAAAATGGTCTAAAAGCAACTGACCATTTCATCAACATCAGAATTGTATTAGTCAGGGTTCTTTAGATGGAGAAAACTAACAGGATATATATATGGGATATATATATGGGGAATATATATATATGGGACATATATATGGGACACACACACACATATATATGGGGAATATATATATATGGGACATATATATGGGACACACACACACACACATATATATGTGTCCCATATATGTGTGTGTGTGTGTATATATGTATATATATGTATATATATATATATATATATATATATATATATGGGAGCTTATTAAGGAGTATTAAACTCAAATGACCACAAGATCCCACAATTGGCCATCTGCAAGATGAGGTCCAAGGAAGCCACTTTGAGTCCCAAAACTGTAGAATTTGAAGTCTGATGTTCAAGGGCAGGAAGCATCCAGCACAGGAGAGTTATAGGCTGGCAGGCTAAGCCAGTCTAGTCTTTCCATGTTTTTCTGGCTGCCTTATATCCTAGCTGCACTGGTAGCTGATTAGAGTGTTCCCACCCAGATTAAGAGGGAATCTCCCTTTCCCAGCCCACTGACTCAAATATTAATCTCTTTTGGCAACACGTTCACAGACACATCCAGGATCAATTCTTTGCATGTTTCAATCCAATCAAGTTGACACTTAGTATTAACCATTACAATAATCAACTAACATGGAACTAAAATGTAAATTCAAGTCATACAAGGCAAACGTAGTTTTTTAAGTGCTTTCTTTTCTTTTACACAACTTTTTTTAAAGAATAGGTTTTATTTGTTTAGAGAAGTTTTATGCACATAGCAATATTGAGTAAACAATGCAGAGATTTCCCATATACTCCCTGCCCCTACACATGCACAGCCTTCTAGACTATTAACACCATCATCAGATGACATTTACACCATAGAATACTATGCAGCAATAAAAAGGAAGGAGATCATGTTCTTTGCAGGAACATGGAAGGAGCTGAGGCCATTATCCTTAGCAAACTAACAGAGGAACAGAAAACGGAATACCACATGTTCTTACTTATAAGTGGGAACTAAATTATGAGAACACACAGACACATTGAGGAAAACACACACTGGGGCCTGTTAGAGGGTGGGGCATGGAAGGAGGGAGAGGGTCAGGAAGAATAGCTAGTGGTTGCTGGGCTTAATAACAGGGTGATGGGATGATGTGTGCAGAAAACCACCATGGCACACATTTACCTGTGTTACACACCTGTATATTCTGCACATGTACCCAGAACTTAAAATAAAAGTTGGAAATTTAAAAAAATAGAACTTAAAAAAATCACCATCAAACTGGCATATTTGTTCAGCTGATGAATATACATTGAATACATCATCACCCAAAGTCTGTAGTTTACATTAGAGTTCACTTGTATGCTCTGTGGGTTTGGATAAATGTATGATGATGCTTATCCACCATTACAGTATCATACAGAGAAGTTTCACTGCCCTAAAAATCCTCTGTGCTCCACCTATTCAGTCCTCTCTCCTCTAAGCACCTGAGCAACCACTGATCTCTTTGCTGTCTTCATGGTTTTGCCTCTCGCAGAATATCGAGTCGGAATCATGCAGTATGTAGCCTTTTCAGATGCCTTTCTTCTTTTGTTTAGTCACGTGCAGTTAAGTTTCTTCCATTTTTTTTTTTTTTCATGGATTGATAGCCAATTTCTTCTTAGTGCTGAATCCTATTTCCCTTTTTGGTTGTACCACAGTTATCCATTCACCTCTTGAAGGAAATCTTGGTTACTTTCCGGTTTTGGCAATTATGAATAAAACTGTTGAAAACATCTGTGTGCAGGGTTTTTTTGTGGATATACATTTTCAACTAATTTGAGGAAATATAAAAGACCACAATTGCCGGAATGTGTGATAAAACTATGTTTAATTTTGTAAGAAACTGCCAAACTGTCTTCCAAAGTGGCAGAGTCATCTTGCAGTCCCACCAGCAGTGAATGAGAGTTCTTGTTGCCATATCCTTGTGCCAGCATTTGGTGTCGTCAGTACATGCTCTTTTAAAATATAATATTAGGCAATCAAATAGATTGTAATATTGATCTCAGAAGTTATCAAGACACTGTGGCTAGTTAGACTGCTGCCTCATTCTCCCCGAAGCTGCAAATTTTCTCCAGGAATACTATACTCTGAGAGGAAAGTTGTTATCCTTCCTTACAGAAATCCATTCTTTACAATACCCACTGAGGTGAGTTTACTATATGATGCTGTTGTTATTACAGTGAACTACATGCATCATCCACGACAGTCATTCATCAATATAATATTCATTGAAATAAGCACTGACATATACTAGGCACTGGAGGTACCAAGGTGGACAAAAGTATCACAGTCCCTTTAGGAGCTTACAATTTAATGGGGAAGAAAGATTTTAATTAAATAACCATGCCAATGAACCTACAATTAAAAATGAAATGTTATATGAAGAATAGTGCAGGAAGTGAAGTAGATATGTAATAAGGAGATCTGACCTATTTTGAGAGAGTGTGGTGTATGGCAGGGTAGGAGGATGGGTCAGGGCCATGGGACACTTCCCAGACAGAGTGATGATTGAGTTTAAATATAAAGGATGTGAAATAATTTAGGAGATCTTGCCGTATTCCACCCAGTTTCTCTCTTCAGAGCCCATGAGCCCATGGACCATCTCCCACTTACTGATGGTTGGCAGCTGTGTCCTTCACTGGAAGTTGCCCTCAGCCTCTGGGAACTTCCATGCAGGGGGTATCCTTTGGCCAACAGTGAAAGTGAAAATGCTAAGGGACCACCCCATACCTTTTTCAGACAACTCTGAAGGGTCTTCCCTCTGAAAGGTGTTCCCCCTTAAGTTTGTCCGAGGTCTCAGTGGCAACTGCATTGTAGGTCAGATTTTTCCTCTGCCCAATCCCTCTTCTTTTACTTCCTTGTAGCTGGACCTCCTGAGATCACTTCTCAATATATTTCAGCACACAATTCTCTGCCTCAAAGGCAGGTGAAGGCAGGTACTGGTAGCAGTCCTAGGAAGCAGAATCTAAAATGGAATTTGGGAGCTGGATCACTTGACAGCTATCTGGCAATGGGACCCTATCTGGTGGCAGGTGGTGTTTGAATTGCTCCTGGCATGTTGTAGTGATGTGACTGTTAAAATTTTCACCTGTAGTGAGCAGCCATCGGATACCTGTGGACAGAGATGCATTGACAGATACATTATTTTTGGCTCTTAAGAGAGAAAAAGGAAAACTATAAGGACTGTGGATTTGGGTTTTCAGAACTCCACTGATTTGTTGAGAAGATATAATTATAGTCTCGGGGTGATCCATGACCTATTATGAGCAACATTGAAAACAAAACAAGCAAAAAAACAACTGGAGAATCTCATCATTTGCCTTCTTGTCAGAGGGCAAAACAATATAGGACCCTGATCAGAATTTAATCATGAGAGTAGTGGACATCCAGAAGAGGTTGAATTCTGAGACCCGATGGATTGTTTTCGATTTTTTTCTTTTTTAAACTGTGGTTAGGGCCCTAATAAGGAAAGAGTGAGATCTCGAGAATTGCGATCAGCTCAACTTTGAACACACAAATTATTCTTATTTTTCTGGGCCTGTAGAATTGGCCAACTCCCCCTTTTAGAAGGTCACTTCCTCTAACCCATCCTTGCCTTTGCTTGAATATCATAAACAGATCTTAGAGGAGCTAGACGTCTTATAGAACAATGCTTGTTCCCAATAAGGATTTACTCCTACCACTTTTCCTCACAGTCAGACCAAACCAGAGGTTAAACTGCAGCACAACTTGGTGAAGTGTGCTAGATCTGGGAAGGGAAGAGAGGACCTACGTATGGTGGAGCAGCGTGATCTGTTACTATGTACCAGCGAGAGCTGGAAGATATGCACAGGAGAGGACTCCAGTGATGTTGGATCAAGGGGCAATCAATGGATGTAGGATGCTCTTTGGTGACAGAGGGTTTAACAAACTGGCAAGTGCCCTAAAAGAGGGCTCTTAGAAGTTTTAAAAAGTGATGTCTCACATTAAATGAAGTGGAGAGGACCAAACTATCAGGGCAAACAAAGGAAGAAAGCACTAAAAGGCTCTGAAAAGTGTATCCTGGAGTGATATACCACGAAAGGTTGGAAAACCGACTTGCCTACTACGTTCTGCAACATAACATTCCCTTTACTGAACAGAGAAAGAATGTGCTTTTGAGAGGGACTCCACAACTTCATTATTGTAAAGCTCTGTGGTGTCTCTCCTCTACAAACTGGACTCCTTGTAAACAATGGTGACGATAGGGGTCCATAATAATACAGACCATGTAAAGTATTTAATTGCCAGAAACAGTTTCTGGAGAGGCAGTTCCTGCAATGAATGGAAAGATCAAAGTGGTAGCTAGAGGTCCTAATCCACAGAGAACTACCGAGGTGACAAAGAGAACATTGTGATTTCAGGGACAAGAGAGATGGGCAAGTAACAAGACTTTTACTTTATTTGTACCATCAAAGGAAATCAGGGATGGATGATCAGAAATCCAAATGCAGCCGCAAAATTCTGGACTTAGATAGTTCTCAGATATGGAATCTCTTTACAGACGAAAATGTCAGGTCTCCACCAGGACCTTGAAACACTGGGACAAGCATGTTTAGCCATTTCCCCATTGTTCCCCAAAGGCATCTCTAGCTATTTACTTAGATAACCATGCATTATCGAACTGTATATAACTACACATTTCCAGTATTATGAGACATACAGTCTGAATTGACATTGATACCCATTGATA